TGCCCTCCATCACTTCACCCCAAGCCAATTCCTGTGCACCACTAGATTCGCCTTCATCCCTTCTTCGCCCTGCGCGCCATAGTCGAACCTCTACCGCCTCCCCGTCGTCGCTGACGCGACCGTGCCGCCATGGTGCGCTACCGCACGGCTCAGCCGCACATGGCCAGCCCTTCTCTGTCATCCTCCGCTCCAACCGTCACCTTAGCCTGGTCCACGGTAGCCTCCTGATGCTCGTGCGCTAACCAATTAGGTCCGTAGCTACCCCAGCTCGCCAAAATAGTGGCGCCGCCATCGCGGATGGCCACGCGCCACTGTAGCCTTGCCCAGCAAGTCATGTCACCCCGCACCACCGCTTAGCATAGCCGCTCGGGTCGGAGATGGTGACCAAGAGGGTCAGCATAGGTCCCAGGTGGCCGGCACGGCTACGCTGTGTCACCGACCGCCGCGCCGCCGTGCGTTGAGTCGCCGGGGTTGGGCGCGTGGGAATTCTAGGAAAGCCAGGGGGTTATGTGAGCCAGGGGGAAATAGTGTTAGGACTTAGTTGTAATTCAGGAGAGGTGCGAGGTCTATTTTGCAAAAGCGCCAGCGCGCGCAGCATTCCCCCGCCGAGCGCAGTCTTGGGTGTGGGTCGGCGTCGCGTGGGCCGCTTCAGCGGGCCGCTGCGCGCGCGCGTGCTACGTCACGCGGGCTACACATGTGGGCCGCGCGAGAGATTCATTTTTCTTTTTTCTAGGAAATTAGTAATGGTTTTCTAATTTAATTTTTGAGCTGATCTTTGGTAATTAATATAATATCGTGTAGGTGTCCAAAAATTGTGAAACAAATTTTGTTAGGTTCCTAAAATTATGGTCTATCTGTTGGTGTATTTAGTTCATATTATATGTGTTGATACTAGGAGCTATTAAATCGTTTGAGAATGCTTAATATTATTAAGTTAATCATTGTAGGAATTTTTGTGGTAAATTGGTGATAGCTTTAGTCCTAAAATTTTTATGGTAGCTTTATTGTATTATTATGTGCTCACTGTAATTTTTATAGCCTTAGAATAGACTAAGCATTAGGGTAGTTAAATGCTCTTTATTTCAATATACATTAAATCCTAAGTAGAACTAAAGATATACCCTTAAATTCAAAGCTACGTGTTTGTTAGTTGAACCCCAACACTTTGCTTGATGAAGATGATAGTTAGCTTAGTATCTTAGCCATTAGAGCTAGCTTAGTAGCTTGGCGTGCGTATTCTTATTTTAAGAGTTGTTGTTGCCTAAATGCTAAATGGTTGCATCATCATTGCATGCATGTGGAGAACGAGTTGGTGGAGATAGTGACCACAGACAATCGCGAGTTCGAGGAGATCGTCGAGGAATATGAGGAGGAGGTCCTCGCGAGGGAGAAGGTCCTAGAGCCACCACTGACTGACGTAGTTGACACCACGCCTGCCCAAGGCAAGCCCCGGTGCATAACCCTTATTTTTAATAATCACTATATGTATATATATATATGATGTGCATTTATGTTACAAGAATTTTATAGAAACCACATGCATATATATATCTGTCCTATGAGTCTTACTAGTGCAGGTTCAAGTAGTTGCTATGCTTAGGTTTTTGATAGCGTGAGCAACCTGCCGTTACTCACAATAGGTGATTATTATAATTACTTTCATGATAAAAATGATGAAAGGAAAAATGGAGACTAGACATGGATATGGTATGGGTATTGGTGGGTGTAATGAGTTGTGTCCCGCAGCCATGGGGCTTAGCTTGGTTATACTATTTTCCATGTCCGTATCGATTAAGGACCGTCCGTTGCTGTGGATGGTAGTCAGGTCATAGACTTATTATCCTGAGCACATACTTGCTTATGGGAGCGGGAAGGCTCGTTACGCTCTTGTCATAAGTTCTAACTCTTTTCGGACTGACTGATTGGAGACAGAAAAAGGTGGAGGTCTAAGCACCATATTGAGACTGGGTCTTAAGTATGGGAGCTTGGAGTCCAAGTTTGGGCGAAGACCTGGACCTCGTGACAGGAGTGGAATGGGTTGGTCTTGTTTGTGCCTGGGGTACAAATAGGACGTGTGTCTCGGGGAACTTAGCTGGGATACATTGGTTCGTGAATCATCATTTCCGTGAGATGGTACGACTTGGCTATGGTCTAGCACCGTAGTAAGAACTGGAATATGAAAGATGGTAAATTGGTTCTGATTGCTCAACCCTTGCTTGAAAGTAGAATAGGTGCTTACCTAGAATGGTTAGTGTCGACACGGAATTTTCGTCTCCGTGCCGAGGACACACGCAGCAAGCCGGAAGGGTCCGCTCGATGGAGCAGATCTGCCTAGCTTCAGCGCAAGGGTGGTCGATCCTGCGCAATCCTCCCGAGACGTGCCAGTCAATTTTACCCTGCAATTGACAAGAAGAGAAAGCTCATTAGTAATTAAGGGCGGAATGTGCCGGTGTTGCTAGAAAGTCCCAAATGTGCGGCTCTGAGAGCCGATATGAGAGGAGATCGACTAAATAGTCGATTCCAACATATTCATAAGAATAAATCGATTAAAGCTGATGGGGTTGTAGAAGAAGAATCGGTTATTATTCAGGATAAATATCATTTAAGCAAATATTAATCAGTGGCAATAAGATATCAATGGTGATCGGTTTATACTGAGCCAATGATTATAAGTAACCGAACTCCTTTTTATATAAAGAAACGATTCAACACCACTTAACCATTTAATAAAGATAAATCTAATGAACATGTTAGATCTCATCTATTGCCATGACCAGTGGGGCATGAGGCAGAATCATGCAGGCCGTAGAAACAATAATAAACTCAACGACCCTAACTCATTACTAATATTAGTGGGGCATGAGACAGAATCATGCAGGCCGTAATACAATAATAAGATCATGAGGCTAACATATCTTTCAACTTATCTCTACTGCAATGATCTCGTAATGTGAACTGTTTGTGAAAGCATTCGATATCGGCTAAACAGCCGATTCAGGCATAGCGCACAGTTAAGGTCATACCTTCTCAGGAATGGGTCTACCAACTAACGATCCCCACTCCACGGTGCCAATAGTGGGGTGAGAGGAAGAATCTCACAGTCCGTGATGACGGGCCTTGGAATGGTTTTCATTAACCAATAGATCTGCTCAAGATCAGATATGCCTTAACCGCACGCTATGCACGATTAAGATTGATGTAAAACAGCCGATAAAAACATAACTCATCGCTTAAGATGTAGATTAGATCAATTTTAGATTAGCAAACGATGAGTTAAACAAGATATAAGGCCGATCCTGATCAATCTCAATCGGGCAGAGTGATATTGTTGTAACTAGATAAACAATGAAAGCAATAAGCAATACCGGTAACTTAATAAATCTACCAAAGACTGTCATGCTAAGGTAGAGCCAATAACTTGACCTTGATCTAATTCAAGCAGTGGGGTGTGAGACAGAATCACACAGGCCATACTTGAATTAGACAAGAGTCGATAACTAGCCTATACCAGAGTCGCAGTGGGGGTCGACTGGATCGATGTAGCCATACAAACAGAGGTATAAACCATGACGGTACTTATAGACAAGCAGTGGAGGTCGACCAGATCGATGCAGCCATACTTACTGAAGAACTCGTCGAGATCTACTCTACTCCTACTCCTATGGGGTGGCCGGAGCAAAAAAAAGTAATTGACTTGTATTTAATTGATTGTTGTTCTTTACAATAGCCGGGGTTTGGTATTTATACCCGGGGCCTAAAATGAACCTTACTCGAGTACGACTCAATACAATCTTTGGCATAACGAAAACATTCCTAATTTAAGATAACTTAGACTCTAATCTTTCCATTTTTATAGAGTCCAGCATGTCTCGTCCCAGCGTCGATCATAGCCCTTGTCGTTATCTGCTGGTGCTATCTGAAGAAAGCCGATTCTAGTGCGTCCGAACCAACTAGCTCCGATCTCCACGCAGCTGATTCCTTGATGACATAATTTTCGAGAGCCTCCAAACCCCTGCAACTCTTCTTTCCAAATTTTGATGTAAACAGTTAGCTAATGAAGTAATCATAACTACTAATTAAACTTGATCTTAAGGACATACTTCTAGTAATGCTTTTCGCAAACAAAAAGAAAACAGCAAACCCATATTGCCTATCATACCCCTTCGAGTCAGGAAACTATTCCCACTAGTCGGGTAAGGCTTGCGAGTACATTGTGTATTCAGGGTTTATTTTACCCTATTGCAGGTGCAGCTTGAGGAGTTGCTCTTGTGTGGAGGATTCTTTTGGTGGGCACAGATGGATCCTTGTATCGTTTCCGCTAGATGATTATTTTCATTCCGCTGTTTAATTATCGTACTCTAAACCCTGATATTGTAATAAATAATTTCCAAAAACTCTTGTTGTATGAAATGGATTAAGTATTGTAAGCTCGTACTTATTATTGGATTCTAGAGGTAAAACGTGGATTGATTCAAGTTCTCCCGTGGGGTGTACTCGACAGAATTGTCCGATGTAGCTAACTTTCGGAGTGTTTAGTGTCTAGTGGAAAACAAGCGTCTCCGAAAACGTGTTATTTCGGGCGGTTCTGCATGAGTGCACAACATGGTTTCACCATTTGCAACTCGCACCTGAGCAGTGGACTGAAATTTCTGCCACCTTGGAACAATTTCAGCTAATTGTTGGTTGATGAAACTGTTGGAACTTCCTGAATCAACCAGCATGAAGACCTCTTTGCCAGCTAGATGACCTCTGAGTCTGATGGTTCTTGCTCCTTCAGTGCCATTCGAAGCTTGTGCTGACAAAGCCATAAGCTCATCATCTGAGTTAGACTCTTCTACATTCGAGGCACAGAGTACTTCTTCACCATCACTGCAACACTTCCACACTTCTTCCATAGCATTCAGTGAAATAATTGCTGGGCATTTGTGTTGTGGACTCCATTTCTCACCACACTTGAAACACAAACCTTTTGCTCTCCTGTAATTCTTCAGAGATGTCAGCTAGTCATCCCCAGTCTTCGGCTTAAGTGCATCAGCAACTTTCTTGTCATCCACTATTCTAATAGGACTTGGAGCAATTACAGATGATTGCTTCACAACTTCAAAAGAGTGTTTCTTAGAATAAGGCCCAAATTCAGTTCTTCCGGAGAATTGATCATGCACAGCTTCTTCCTGCAAAAAGGCCAAGGAGCTAGCAATATCTAGATCTTGAGGCCTGTGCATCATAACAACTGCACGAATATCTTTCTTTAAACCATCAACAAAACGATTTGTAATGGCAGTTTGAGGAAAAGATGGGTCATGGGCTAACAGTTGGTGTACTAAGTCACTAAACTGCTCAACGTAATCAGAGACTTGTGGACACTTGTTTGATGTGAAAGAATTGTCTAAGTAGATGGTTGTGCTCGTCTTTATCAAACCTATTGCAAACAGTGCAAACAAAAAGTTTTCCCAATTCATGGCACTAAGGGTGGCTTGCACGGTTTGGTACCAGAGAGCAGCAGAGCTAATGAAGCGCATGGATGCACACTGAACCCAAATCCTAGGATCAGTAGCATATAGTTCAAAGAAGGTCTCACAATTTTTGATCCACAACCGAGGGTTAGAACCATCAAAGGTAAGGAACTCTATACTGGGTATGGGAGGATGAACAGGTGTGTAAATCAACCAATCACGGGGCACAGAATCATCCAAATTATAAGCAATAGGAGGAGTTTTTGGAAGCTTCATCGCACCTGTGACTGGGGTTGGGTTCGGGGCGACGGTGTACACCGCCCCGAAGCTAGCACCTCGGTGGGTAGATCCCTTGCCGTGGTCTAACGACCCAGATGCTGCTCCTTTCAGAGTCGGCTCTAGATGAGTAGAGCCCAGTACCTTCTCGCCCGGGGAAGCAGAGATTTCTTCCCGGCCAGTCGATGGAGAGGGTTGGGCAATGGTGACGGAACCCGGAGAAGCCTCCACCACCAGCTCGGAAGGAGGAAGGAGGACTCCCAGCGCGCGCTCCACCCGCTCGCCGAGATCGAGTACTGCATGCTCCAATTCGTTGACGCGGTTGTCAACTTGAGGCTTCCAAGTAGCGATCTCCGTCTTCAGAGCCCGCATCTCCGACATAGAACTTTTGAGTTCGTTGATCCCCTTGGATTTCTCATCGAGCAGCGCAAGGATTTGACCCAACTGCTCTTCCTGTGTCGCCATGGCCATCTAACGACGGGTAAGGTACTGACGATAGGCTAGAATCACGATTCACTGTAGCCACCGCTGTTGATCAAGCCGACCTCGGCACGGACCTATGGATCCTCGCGATCAACGCTGCAAGAGCGAATCACAGAGGAGAGCCAGCCGTCGGGGATTACGACTCCGGATCTAAACAGCGAGGGTAAGAACAGGAATCGGTGGCTCCGATACCAAATTGTTACGGACTACATGAGTTCAGCTATATATTGATAGGGTAAATGGAACGAGGTCTCGGAACACCGGCCGTGCCCGCCGCCACCATCGCCTACTGGCACGGTTCTGGAAATTTGACCAAGTCGAGTTTTGCCTTCTCAGGCAAGGGTACAAGAAGGAGCCGTGTGAGCTTTCCCTTCCGAGCTGGGCCACACAGGGCCGTTGTTCAATTCACCCAGTCTGGCCCATATACTTGAGTGTTCGCCTTCTTGGTCCTTTTGGACCGCTCGGCCCGTCCCGCTTCCACTTCCGTCATTCCTGTGCCACCTTCAGGTTCTTCAGATGCCGTAGCAAAGGTAGGTGGTCTTGCGACAGTGACAGGCTGGCTGATGCCATGATTGCCGCCCTCACCGCCGGCAGATCGAGAATACATACAAAGCGTCGTGCTCGCTGCGTCGAGGAAAAGCCGAAAGGGAACGGGTGGGTGGACTGCAATCTGCAAGTCACGGATGGCACCTAACGAAAGCTCGTATGTCATGCCAGGCCGTCTGCAGCCCAAAGTCAAAGACTCATAGTCCACAAGGACAGGGCCCAAGTAACGATTCTTTGAGGTGCTCATCTTCTTTCTTGCGTCCAGCGCCCGTGGCTACTGAAGCGAACTTGCGTCAAGCGACCAGCGCCCAAGGGAGCGATTCCGGGTAGGGATCCACGGCGGAGTGGCGGAGTCAACGTATAGCTAGTGCCCTACCTTGCCCTTGCCCTACCAGGCCCTCCACCGGATCGCCCCTGGTCGCCGGGAAATTCGTCGATGCGACTTCTACGTGATCAACAGAAGAAAACAGAAGAAAACTTAACGGAAGGAAGTAAGGCAAATCTGCCTCCCTTGCATGCGTCCTCCATGCATGCACCATGGCTGTGCATTCGGAACGCCTAGCGTCCGGACGTCCGGACGGGACGTCGCGTCCGGACGCAGCTCCCTGCTCCACCCCGCCCGCTTGGACTCGCGGCATATCCGCCCCGCCCCACTTCGTTTCACACGCCGCCCCCGTCCTGCCCGCTCCTTTCCATGCGCGCACGTGGTTCCGCTCGCTCTGTTTTGCACGTGCACGCGGGAATTTGAAAAGTAGATGTAGTTTTGCAACATTCAGAACTAATTTTGCAACATTTAGAGGAAAACACTTGCAAAATGCGTTTAAAAACAAATGAAACATTTGGAACATAAATTTGCAATAAACATGTAAAGCCATCGTAACACATGGAACATCCTGATCTACTTTGCAACATCCAAATAAAACAGTTTCAACGTCCGTCTGGAATAGCTGAAACACTTGAAACATATACTTGCAACATACGTGTTTATCCATTGCAACACATGCAACATCCCCAATATACTTTTACAACATTAAAATAAAACGCTTGCAACATCCATACGAAACACCTGCAACATGCATATGAAACACCTGAAACACTTGCAACATTCAGATGAAATACTTGTAACATGCATATGAAACACCTGAAACACTTAAAACATAACATTGCAACATGCTTTCAGCGCAACATCTTCTTCCTACTTGGGCGAATGGAGGCTCGTCGTCGTGGAGAGAGGGGGGAAGGCCGCCGATCTTGTACGAGCTGGTACCGGAGAAGGATGGAGGCGCTCGGAAATCGCCGCTCTGGGTCTCGCTGCTACGGATCTCGGAGTGGGGCGCGACAGTGAATGGAGCGCGGCGCAGCCGGGGCGTGCATGGCTCGGGGAGAGGCGCGGCGTGTGTGGGGGCGGGGGCGCTACTCGGGCAGAGGCGCAGCATGTGCGGGACGCTGCTCGAGCAGAGGCGCATCGCGTCCGATGGAACGGAAAAAGCCACGGTGAGGGAAGGGGGCTGGAGGATGAGCGGAGTGGGTTTTTTGAGAGAGATGGGAGCCGATCCTACGCAGGTCAAGCCACGTCCGGATGGGAGCACGGGTCGGGCACCCATGGAGAATCATTATCGTTGTGCATTTCCTTTCCTTGACTACAACGCACGGCAAAAAATAAAAAGAAAGAAAATGAAAGGGAAAGCACGTGCGATTGGCATATGGAGAAAAACCGGCAGATGTAGGGGAGGGGGAAATCGACCGGAGGGTGTGTTGATCGCGCACACGGCCACACTTCGTCATTCTAGATAAACGATGACATTTGTCATTTTTTTAGTTGTGTAGCGTAGTTGTGGTGTAATGTAAAATATATATATTGTAGATCGTAGATTAGGTAACAAATGGTCTGGAAATGACAGTTTTGATAAGTCGACTAGGGAAAATTTGAAAGAACTAAAATTGAAAAGTTAGTGGCTACATTTTTTTCACTCCTTTTTCTCTTTTTTTATCTGGTACAACTTGATGCACACAACCCACACACTCCACACTCATACGCACGCGACGCACAATGTACGCGTGTCCGTACACACGCAAAGAATAGATTGGGAGGTGACGCCTCCGGTGTGCGGTAGATTGGGAGGCGATGCCTCCGGTGTGTGGGAAACGCGTAGTACCACCGAACGTGCACGCGTGCGTAAAATTTCTGAAAAATTTTCAGAAAAAAGGTGCGATCACCGCACCCTGACAGCCCTACCACTGGAGCACAGTCCATTCGATCCTTTTTTTCCCTTATTAGCTAACAAGTAACAAATGGCGTAGAAATGACAGTTTTGTTAAGTCGCCTACGGGGAAAAATAAAGGAAAAAAATAAATGAAAAAATGAAATTCTACTTGTGTTAAACAAGCACACACACTTATTTTTTACCAAACTATGGAATTTTGCAGTTTTTGTTTTGGTACATAGGTGAGAGGTGGGATGAAAATTTAAAATTTTGTTTGTTCAGACGTTTTTTAGTCTTAATCAATTCCAATTAAGGTCGGGCCTTATACTTTGGGCTGGACTGGAATTGGTTTTTTCTGGCCCACGTACAGACACCCTGCGAACCTCTCCATTTGACAATTTCGTTCTTGCCCAACGGCACCGCACGCACCAAATCTTCTTCTTGGTTAGTACTGTACTCTATTTCTAAAACAAATAGTGTCTCAGTCCATCGCATCCAAGCTTCATTTGCGTCAAGCTGTCTAAATTTTAATCAAATTTATAAAAAAAAAACATGAATATTTATTTATAACATCAAATAAAATGTACTATAAAAATATATTTCATAACGGATCTAAAAGTACTTATATAGTATTATAAATATTGATAGTTATTGGTATGAACTTGGTCAAATATGCCGTCAAAAAGAACTTGGTCAAATAATACAAGATGGTGTTATTACTATATAATCATTGAAATTCTTTTCGAGACGAGGTGAGTAACGTAGCAGAAAAGTAGTAGACGTGACGTGCATATCATCATTTGTCTTGCTAGAATGTGAGAAAAAGCAGACCTCAGATATGCTGAAAAAGTGACATAACAGTTAACAAGAGTAGATCAACATGAGTCATGAACCCATTATGACGTGTAGAGCTGTCTAGTTGGAAACTTGTTGTTTAGGAAACTTGGATCAAATTGATTCATAATGTTGGTCGTTAATTTTTTTTTATTGTGACCTTCGACTTGTTATTATTTGGTAATTGAGAGTCTCCTAGTATCACTGCCGGACTCAGTGGCTTTGCCGAGTGCCACCCAATTTGCACTCGGCAAAGGCTTTGCCGAGTGCTGCACTCGGCAAAGGCCACTCGGCAAAAAATGGGCTGGCAAAGGCGTCTAATTATTCCATCGAACGTACTCCCCCTGGATCCGAGAATAGCAACAAGAACTAAATGTCATGTCCAAGCCAAAGAACTTACTCCGAAAAGTCATGACAAATGATGATTCAGACGAGATTCGGCGTTTTTGAACCACGAAAGGCTTGGCTTCCATTTGGGTTGTAGATGTAACCAACCCCCTATTAAGGATAGTGTAGAAAGAAATAATAGAAAAAGAGCTCCAGTATAACGATCTTCATTGGTGCGCAATCCAATTGTATACCACCACTGATAAACCCCAGAATAAGCGATATTCACTGGACCGGCAACACCTCCTCGAGTAAAGGCTTCCACGGTGGGTTGCCCAAAATGAGGATCCCAAATGGCATGAGCAATAGGTATTAAGTGTAAAGGATCCTGTATCCATGATTCAAAATTTCCTTGCCAAGCTACATGAAACAGCTCGGCAAAGTTGGAACCGAAAAAACCCGAAAAATGGGATTTTTTTAATCGGTGGAGGCCCCCACCGGCCAGCGCCAGCCCATCTCCGGCATTTTTCGCGTAAAATTCGCGGCTACGAGGCAGGCGGGATTCGAATCGGCAACCTCTCCCTCGCGCGTCTCCTCCTGTAACCACTGCACCACACTGCCACCTATGTCTAAATTCCGTTTTAGTTCCCCACGTATTATACTAAAGCGAGTGTAAATTGCTTGTTTGAAGCCCTAAACGAATTCAAATAAAAAAGTTGTAAACTACAAAGTTTCATAACTTTTCGAGATCTACACTTTTAGTTTAGGAAGTTTTTCCATCCGAGGTCGTTTACAAAATTTGAATTTTAAAATTTTGAAATTCAAACACAGTTTTGCATGCCAAGATGATTTCAAATCAAAATGTTGCCAACTACAATGTTTCATAACTTTTCGAGATCTACAAAGTTTATTTTGGTTGTTTTTCCATCCGAGGTCGTTTGAAAAGTTCCAATTTTAAAATTTTGAAATTCAAACATAGTTTTGCATGATAAGATGATTTCAAATAAAAAAGTTACCAATTACAAAGTTTCATAACTTTTCGAGATCTACAAAGTTTATTTTGGTTGTTTG